TGGGGGGGGGGACTGTTTTGTGGTGCTGCTGGTACAGGAGGTCCGGCCCCTTGCTGCCCGCTGCTCCCCAGGTTTTGCTTAGCTGCTTACGGGAAAGCGCCGGCCCCTGGCTGCCGTGACAGAGCGCAGAGACGCCGAAGCACCAGGAGAGACCGGTGAGGCAGCTGCGCACCCCGCAGCAGAGGACAGGAGCTCTCAGTGCACTGTTGGACTGAGCCTGCTCTCCTGGCCACCTGGGTGGCAACTCACCCTCTTCTCATCCGTCCTGGAAAGGGAGAGGGTGGGGTGGGGGGAGGGAAATGCACCCAGCTGCAGCACAAACACAGAGAAAGGGCAGAGTTGCAGCAACCTGCTGTAAGAAACAAGGAAGGACAGGTCTGACCAGCTGTTAGCCAGCTCTGTGGGCCTGGTCTCATGGGGGCGACAACTGAGGAGGGAGAGCCATTGCTTGAGCCTCCATAATCAGAGCCACTCCGCCTCGCCCTCCTTCCTGCATCCTGAGATGGAAATTTCCTTCCCTTTCTAAAAGGGAGTATGTGGCCTCGGCTGTTGGTTGGCTCTGCCTGTGTGGCCCATGTCACATAGGTGAACGCTGGAGTAGTCCAAAGCTGGTCCAAACAGGCTGTTTCCTTGCTGACTGTGAGGTGAAATGAAATTGTCTGTCCAACCGCGCGCAGGGCTGTTTGCTGGCAGCTGAAAACACGAGGTTTGCTTCTTTCCAAGATGAGCATGGGCTGGACAGGGCTGGTACAGCACGGAAAGCTACCTGGGAGCAACGTTGGGAGATGCACAAACAGCTGCCTCTTACTGCGTTCGTGCTCCACCGCTTTGGTTACCGACGCTGCTTTTTTGCAGGGCTGCAGACAAGGTCTTAATCAGTTAACATGTACGAGTTAGCTTCCTGACACTGCAGAAACAGGTAGCTAGCTGTCTTTTTACCTGTGCTGTGGTGGCTCTTAGGTGAGTCAGAGCACTGAAGAGTATTCCTTGCTTGAAGCAGGAATAAACACCATCCAGCACTGACTGAACGGTGCACTGAGATGCCCGATCTCCTGCACTGCTTTTACATTCTAACGTGGCTTTTAGCTAATCCTGGCCCCTCTCTTTTGCTGTCCTTGTCTTTGTGCCCCTGTGCTGTTCTTATAGGAAACCAGAATGATGCACAAATTTAACAGTCCAAACCCAAGAGTACTGTGACCGTTTCAGAGTAGGAAGCACTGGACAGGAAGGTTGGGGTGTGGGAGGGGTGGTCTTGTGCAGCTTTTTAAAATACATTTTAGCTGGGAGAGATGCCTCCCATGGCCCCTGGTCCCAGTGAATGTCGTAAGCATGAATCAGTCCTGACTCACGAGGCAGATCTGTCACGGCGAGTCGTGAGTTGCACCCACCCACAGCACGTCCTGCAAGAGCTGGGTTTTTCTGCTCTCTGTCCATTCGAACCTTTTTGTCCAGTTTCTTCCTCGGCACAGAACTGAACGCTGGCAAAAAAACAAACAAACAAACAAACTCAAAACCTGAGCTCTCGGCTGAAACGGAGCTTAAGCAGGGCTGCCGGACAACAGCAGTGTTTCGCACGGGATGTGCCAGAGCCTGAAAGCAGAGCGCTCTGTTTGTCAGTTCAGTGAGCCAGGACAGGAAGGCTTTACGCGGAAAAAGGAGCTCTCTTTCCTCTGCTGGTGGCGATGCCTCACTCGGAGCCTGTGGCTGTTGACTCGGGAGCAAGGCCAGGATAAGTCAGGATTCTTCTACCATAGAGGCAGTGTAGACGAGTCTCTGCTGTCAGCTGGGACATCTGCTTTAGACAAACATCATCATCTGTGCACACGGAAGTGCACGCTTTTACTCGCGTAAGGGAAACACCAAGCCCTACCCTACAACTGGAGCGTTTTTCCAGCTGAATGTTTGCTTACGCAAACAGAGAGCATTTCAGCCTGTGAGCCTTTCTCCTATCCTGTATCTGGCTTTAGCTGCAGTATGAAAACAGGGAGGAGGCTAGAAAATTAAGGGCTAGCACCCATAGCTGAAGCTCCCCCAGGGCAACAGAGCTAACAGCCAGCAAGACGAGGGCTGGAGAGAGCAGTTGGGACTGCAGCAGGTTTTGTTGCTGCAAGAAACCTCCTGGAGCCAGTTTTATGCTAAACTTCTTTACCATTATCGTTACAACCATGTAAAACACAGCACTGAATACTATGTACAGTCTGTTTGGATCAGAGTAAAAAGGAACGATTGACTTTGTCTTCCAAACTTTCTTACAAAAAAAAAAAAAGAGGAAAGAAAAAAAGCACAGATGTAAAAATGGTTTTAAGTAGCAATTGTAATACATTAGAAAGAGTCACGGAGGAAGCGTTCCACGCTGTAAACAAGAATAGCAATTAAAAAATAAAAGCCAATGGTAGCAGATCTATCAAAGTGCGTGCACAGAAGAGAGACACTGACCTCTAACGCCGCCCAGCTGCAGCGGTTAGACCTGCGATTCCTGCTGCACCGCACCTGCTCAAAATGCTCATTTAAGAAACAAAAAACAACCCACAACGTTTGTCTTTACAACTATGTAAGAGTTATCCTGGGACTGCCCTGGGACTGCGAGGCCAAAGGAGGGGGCGGGGGCTGTTTTCCTGAGTTTGCTTGCAATAACACTGGCTTTTGCTATGGGAGTGAGGCTGTTTTGAGGAGTCTGGTGCAGGAGCAAAAGGGGTTTTGGCCAGTGTTTGTCCTGCTGACCTGTCACCCCTCTTATTCCTGCTCGACTTCCTTCCTGTCCCCAGAGAAATCTCTGAGCCTGGGCCTTGTCATTCCCTCCTCTGCTGCCACCGAGGCCTGCCTGGAGCCTCTAGGTGAAGAAAAAGGGCATGTGATCCAGACAGGAGGGGAGGTGCCCTTTAAAGACTGAGTCCTTTTAGGAGCAGCAGGCTGCTCTTACAGCAGCTCCGTGCAGTCATGACCGGGACCAGGCCTGCGATGGCTGCATATCCATCTGCAACAACAAGCAGAAAAGGAGACGTGCTAATTCAGCTGATCAGCGAAAACAACTATTTGACATGCTGAAGTAGCACCAGGTCTAAGTGAGGCTTCACTCCACGGAAAGCAGTATGTGCTGCTAGCTCTCAGTGGGCTTCTGGGGGCTCCTTTGCCCATGGGAACTCTTCTCAAACCTGCCAGAGCAAAAGAGGGCAGAAACCCCCTCTGCTCTTTCCCAGCAGGTGGATAATTGCAAAGCTTCCAGCTTTCAGGGTCGCCAGGTTGGAGACCTACTTGCCTGGCAGGGTACATTCAGTGACACAGGTAGGACCTCAGAAATTGAGTCCAGTCTAACTTGTGGGGCAAGATGTGCCTGGCTGCACCGGCATTCCCAGTGGGGGACACCCCTGAAGAGAAAGGTGAGCTTGGGTCAAGCAGCACTGGAGCCAGCAGGTCCTACGGGAACTGGGGAACAGGCCGCTAGTCTCCTTATATCTTGTGGAGTCGGAACGGAGGAAACCCAAATTACTGTTGAACACCATGCACCAAAGGTTTGCTCGGAGAGCGTGTCTGCACTGCAAGGGAATCGCATGCCCAGCACTGTGCCTAGGTGGCCGTTGCCCTGCATAGCTGGTACTGTGCGTTTGACAGCTCTTTAACATTACAGCAAATCACTTTTTAAATGTAAATACTGTGAAGCATCCTAGGCACGCTCTCTGGGTGGGGACCCAGGGCTCACACGCACCACTGGCAAACAAGATGTGCCAAGGCGATCAGAAATGAGGGGGAGAGGGCTCAACATCTTGCATGAGCTGGACATTGCCGGGAGTTAGCAGGAGTCCTATGTGCGCTTCAAGGGCAGAGCGGACCCCAAGCTACAGACACCGAGCCAGGAAGAGCACGACAGCCACTTGCACGCTTCTCACTGCCTTCCGTCGAGGCCCCGAGGCCAGTGGGGGTACGGTTCCTAGCTAAAGGCAATTGATACCTGTCTGAGATACTGCCCAGGTACTGTAACACACAGACATGTTTAACTACCGCATGGTTACTGAAAAACATACACTAAATTAAAACCAATTCAAGCACCTTTACCCTTAAAATGACCCGTGGTATCTCAAAATACAAATAGGGAGCATACACACAGCGCTGCCCCTCAAAGCGCGTCACAAACAGCAACTAATGACTCCTCACACCCTCCTGTGAGGTAGTTAACGTGATTATCCCTGCTCCCCGGACGGAGAGGACAAGCGGGTGTAGAGACTCCTCCAAGGCCCAAGACAGGCTCTCTGTCAGAGCAGGGGTCTGGCCGACTACATCCAACCAACGATGGGGTGCTCCCTTCCATGGCTGTACCTGCCACTAACGGGAACCACCACAGGCGCACAAAAAAAGCCTGATCAAGCCCCCAAGGGATTTAGTGGAAGTTTTCTGCTGGGCTTCCAGGTAGGCTTTGGATCAGGTGATATTACTGAAGCAGCCCAGGAGATAAAAGCCAGTTTTCAAAGTTGCCTCCAACCTCTAATGGGCGACTGCCCGGTTCACCACTGAAGGGACAGGCAGCAGGTTTCTGTACCCACCTATCAGCTTTATGAGAAAAGCATCGTCTTCTAAACCTCCGTGCCCAGGTTTCCTTTCTTGGTTACTGCTGCTGATTTCTGGCGGGGCTGTGAGAAGGGCTGCGGGCAGCGTGCTCACCCTTGCTACCTCCTGTAGCATTTCCACCCCAAAACTATTTGCTCAAAGTAGAAGCTGGCTTCAGCTTGGGCACTGTGCTTAGACACCATCACACCTCCAGCAGCCAGTCAGCGAAGGCAAGACACCTGCCAGGCCATTGACTCTGTTGCATTAGTACAGCTAGACGCTGCTTGGTGGTTTACCAAGGGAGCAGTCTCTTCCTGTTCAGTCAGTGGTAAGGCAGCAAGCCCACTTGCTGTCCTGTCCTGGATCTGCGAGGGAGAGGGCACCAGACAGGCCACTCAGAAGCCTCGCAAAAAGACCGGGTTCAACCTTCATCACTCTCCTTGTCACCTCAAGAACTTAAGGGGAAAAAAAAAAGAAAAAAAAAAATCAAAATCCAACCAACCAACCAGTGCTCTGGCTTCAATGCTCTGCCAGTAGGCGGAGCCCATGTTCCCACCTTGCTTTGCAGTCCTCCTCCGAGGTCAAGGCAAGGAGACCCACCAGGAGCAGAAGAGCTCACCGCTGTTAACACTTCCCCTCCAGGAAATCGTCCACTGCAGCTGGAGGGAGGCAGGAGCTCCGGCACCGAAACGGACACCACGGCAGGCACGCAACCTCTGCTCCGTGCAACGACTGGGAATTGCATAGACTATTCAGCAGGCTGGCGTTTGCCGTTGCGGAGGCTCCACAGCCTCCTCTGAAAAGCTGCTGCCTGCTATGATTTTGAAAAAGGAAAAAACAAACTATTGCTATAGAGGCCTTTGAAAGAAATGCCATTGGCCTCACTGATCGGTCATTTGTAAAGAAAGCCTCTCTCTCTAACATTGCCGACTCCTATGCATTGTGCCTACTTCCATGCCCATGGCTACCCAGCTCTGGCTTGTGAGCCCGCTGCTGAGCTCACTGCTCTCAGAATACAGACAGGAAAACAACAAAATAGCTAACAAGTTAACCAGCCTTGTCTCTCCCTCTAGAGCGATGGGGCTTTGAAAGTTTCAACGAGCAAACAAAAAATAAAAGCACTTTCCACTTTGTCCATAGAAAAGAAACCATGGATGAAAAATACAACTGAATTTTAGTGCCTCCTGGCGCCGATACGTTTGCCTGTGGCCGCAGTTCCAGCTCCTAGCGAACCACGGCTTCCCCTGCGCACTCGTACCGAAGTACAGCCTCAGCACGCAATTGCCTCCTTGCTCTACGCAGGCTGTGTTGTCACGCCAACACCAACCTACTGTACGGGTATCTCAAGAACGGACAGTGTTGCTCCAGTACCCAATTCCTCTCCCTGCCCTCCCTCTTCCCTGCTAAAATGTCACCGATTTGGGCAACTGTGCCAGGGGAGGAGAGCCTGAATTGAAATTATTCTCTGAGTGGGATTTGGTAACCTTCAGTGGTAATATTGGTTTGGGGCTCAGCGGGGGCCGTGCTGCTCTCAGTGCATTTAATGATTTCTGGATGTCTTTTTGGGCAGCTACTGCCTCAAGGTCCTCTGCAGCAGGAGGTGCCCCTCCACCAGGTGCTGCCGAGGTGGCACCCAGGCGACGGCCAGCCTCTGGCAAAGGCAGGGCCACCTGTTTCCTGTTCAAGAAGTCTTGTTCTGTCGCATGGGCCACGTGAAGGGGGGTGGTGGTCTTTATAACTGTGTAGGGGTTGTTCTTCCTCTCCGTGGTCGGGGAGGGCATCAGCTGGAAGTGGCCCCCCTCCGCCAGCCCCGCTGTCCCCGAGTCGCTCCCAGATAAGATGGGCACGCTGCCGCCAGACAGCCTTTGCAGAGGAAACACGTTGAAGGCTGCGGAGCCCAGTCCTCCTGGCTGATCTGCCGCGTCCGTGCTCCCCGGGCCGTTCTGCTGCAGGTTAGCAAGCTCGCCCACGGACGCAGCCTTGGGTACCAAGTGTCCGAAGTCTGTTTTGTTCAGCTGCATCGCCCTGCATCGTTTCTTGGCACTGGCCCCCTGTAAATAAGCCGTATTCTCCCTGTACTCACGCTCAGGGAAGTTATCGTACTGTGATGTGTTAGAGAGCTGTTGCCTGCCATCCGGCAGAGGAACAGGGAGGGCCTCAAGTGCTTTCTCTTTACACAAGGGAGATGCTTGTTGTCCCTCTGGCAAATTGCAAGCAGCAGGATTTGGCTGCCGTACTGAGTGGTCCATACTGGAAAGCTGCTCAGGCAATGGCAAAACCTCCCCAGCTGGCAGATCTACAGAAGAGGTGGTGGTGCTCGAGTCTGGGGGACTCGGCAGGTTTTGGAGAGAACAGTCTAAGGAGCTGTGCTCAGCAGGGGTGGGAAGGGAGGGAGTTTGGCTTGGTGACTCACGATCCGCTAGTGCATGACTGTGATTGAGAACAGGCAGGTTCGCCTGCAGGGCCTGGCCCCGTGCGTCAGCGTCTCTCGCAGAGCGGCCCTTGGCTGGCAAGGCTGGCGAGACCCGATGCAGCGACGGTGACTGAGCTGCTGCGGGGTCGGCACCTTTGTTCGTATTGTCTGCGGTGGTGAGCGGTTTGTTTTCCTGCTGCCCCCCCTGACACTTCCCAGGCTTAATCCACGGACTCTTAAGTGAGACAAGGTCTCTGCTCTCAGAAACATCATCTTGGCTCTTCGGGAAGCTCTGTGTCTCGCTTGCTTTCAGAAGAGACTGCTGCTGTGGTAGGATCTCACTGGCAGCTTTCCTGGGCGATCCTACCTGTGCATCCTCTAAAGGCTGCTCCTCGTCCTGGCTCTTTGCTGGACGCAGATGGGCGTCTGTCGCTTCAGCTAGTTCGCTGCGCTGGAGGTCAGGAGTCCTTCCAGTTACTGCCGTGCTCGTGTCAGTGGCCGTTTCTCCTGGAGTCCCAGGGCTTTTGTTCGGAGGGGGCTGCATGGCATCTCTGTCCGGGTGGTGCTCGCCCACGACGCCGTTCTGGCTGTTGGCTGCCATGTTGGCCTTCACTGCCACAAAGTTGAGGGAGAGCTCCAGGCCTAAGGGCTTCCGTGGGAATTCCTCGGGCTTTGCTACATTGGAGGAGAGAGGAGACAGAAGAAACAAAGCAAGGAGAACATGCATTATTTCATTTTGCATCAAGCACTTTACCCAATAGGCCCTGGCCTGGCCGCAGGGAAAGATTCACGCAGCACCCAGCGAGTGTCAGCCCTTCTCGCAGCAGCACAGGGCAGCTCTGGCAAGCCTGGGAGCCCAGGAGGACCCCAGTATCGGTGCCCTATCCTGCCCGTTTCCCTTGCCTGTCATTCGCAAAGTCCCAAATGTTTCGTTCTGCAGCTTTTCTGCTAATTGCTAGTGCCGGGAGCGGAGCCCGCAGGAGCTGCATGCCCAGAGGGCAGCTGAGTGCTGCTGAGGAAGCTGAACCTCAACCTGTATTTAAGGAAACTGAGGTGGTTGAGCTGGTGGTTGCCCACTCTAGCCCTGCTGATACTGGAGCAGTCCCACATGCAGAGCGTTGGGCCCGTTCCTTCCTAATGCCTCTTTCTGGTGACGAGATGATCAGGGAAAAAAAAATGCAACAGTAGCTCAGGGGACAATGAATTATCAGGGACTTAATAAAAAAGTACCCCCTAGCCAGCAGAACAGTTTTTACCACTGAGTTATTTGCTCCTCCACAGTGTACTTACCTAGGTGCTAATAACTTGAGAAGATAGGGATGAGCCTAGCAGGGCTTAACAAATGCAGTTTTGCAGTACTTAGGTTTTCTAACGTTGTAAAGACAGACGTCCTCTGAGCTGCAAGGCAGGATGGACAACTAGCGAAAGAAGGACATCACGACTCACGCTGACCGCCACAAAGTGGCAGAGATTGATGTGGGGCCTGGCATGTGTCAGAGAGACAAGCTAGTGGGTCTGAGGCGACCCGCAGACCTCTGGCATTGCCCTACAGACCCCATGAATTGGGAACCACTCATCTAGGTCACACTTGCTCTCCACAAGAGAAAAGCCTGAGCAGTTAGCATGTGAACAGCTCTGCTGGCCCAGACCAAAGGTCTCTGTGGCTCAGTGTCCTGTCTCCAGGAATCATCACAAGCAGAGGCCTAGCAGGCTAACCCTGTGCCATTATACACACGTTTTCAGTTTACAGGCGATATTAAGAGATTTTCCAAGGTTTTTCCTTGTTTGTGTTTCCATAGTTATTAACAACTATTTAACTGCATGAACCCAACACTTCAGATCAGGGAGGTCTTCTGTTCAACATGCTCTCTGTCCAGTATTTACAGGCAGGGCACCAACAGGCAATGACGGAGG